TATATGTATTTACATTATTTCGGTTTTTCTCTGATTGATTTCCTGTTAAAATTTGTATGGTGTTAAAATTATTACGAAAAAGAATATAAAATTAACTAATTGGAATTTGAAAATTTGATTTAAACATACTAATGGGACCAATGACGCAGTTTTAGTGGGTCTAGTTCTTAAAGCGAAATGTGAGTCCTTAAATCATATAATTTAGTTTATTGTAATGAAGTTTCCAAAGTATAATTGAGGATTTCATTCAAAACATGTCATTTAATTTAGTTCTATATGTATTTAACTTTTGTGACTCAAGGAATGGAATAACCAACCCTTACTTGATTTTCATTATGGAAAAATGCAAAACACAATGCTCTTTCATCCAACACGCTTTTTTCTTTATTGCAATAATTAGTTTCTGTTTCTCCCTCTTAATGATTTTAAATTAGTTTTTTTTTTTTGTAAATCATAACTTTTGTTCAATTAAAATTTTTAATGTAGATGACAATAGCAGATGACACTACACAAAAAAAGAAAATATTTCAGAAATTAATTTTTTAATAATCTAATTAAATATAATTAAATCTTGTACATTGAAAAAATTTGTTTTATTTCAGAAACGAATTTATTTAATAATTCATTAGTTATTAAATAAATTCGAATAAAAAAAATGGTTTATAAAATAGCACATTTTCCTTAATTACTCTACTGTGTAAATTGTTCTCAGTAATAATTGAAAAATGTTTACTAGTCAGTACGTTATTACATACATTTAGGATGAAAATAAAATCTAAAAGAAGCGCTAATGTAATAAAGGCGGCTTCATTGGCAAATTAAATGAGCTGAGATAAATAGTCATATTTTACTTATTCACTCCTAGGAGGAGCATAGGACTAGTGCATGATATCATGCCCTATTCTCTAGGAATTAACTAGGTGACAAGCCTGCCGTAGTTTTATTTATATTAAATATTTAAGTTTATTAATATTTACTGATTATTTTTTCTTAGTCTTTAGTATCGAATATTATGAATATTTGAAAATTACTTGTATAATATTTATTAGTATTGTATATTAAGTTATATAATGTTGAATATAATTTTTATAGTGACCTGGCTGGGGTTTGAACCAGAGGACCTTTCAGTTAAAGTACCGATGCCGTAACCACTGCAGCAACGGTCAGGTTGAGAAATTACCTATAGTTCTCGAAAAATAAATTAGATTTAAAGGAAATTACTTTTAGTTTTAAAAATTCTTCTAGAGCTTTTCAAAGATTCATTTGCATATGTAAATATATATAGAACTTACAAACGGACAATGGCAACCTAATGAGTAAATTTTTTTCAATTTTATACGAAATATGTTTAAAACAAAAAAAAAAATACATGAAAAAAAAATCTAATGAAAACGTTAAAATAAATTGTTAAGCCCCCATTTTTATGCTGCTCTTCAATTATTGTAAGGTCATAAATGTTTTTTATAATATCTTTATGAATAAGAAACGACCTTGCTATGACTTTTCCTTGCTTGTATAATATCTATAAGTATAATAAAAATGTATGTAATGTGATTTGTAAGGTAATCTTTGAAATTAAAAATTAATTTTCCACTTTTTTGAAATGCTTTTCGAAAAGAAAGTGTATAGAAATGTAGTGGGTGTTTAATTATTGTACATAATTTTATTATATACGTATATTATATATGTATATATTTACGTTTTGCAATTTATTTGATCCTAAGCATCTAACTCAATGCAAGCCATTTTATCTACAAATTATGTAGCGTTGCAGCTCTATTGTTCAAGTAGTTGCTCGATTGCATTGAAACATAATTACAATTTCATAAGATTTTTCAAGGTTAATTTTTATGTCTATAACTAGTATAGGACTTATTAAATTGATTCGACAAGAAAAGCGAATTAACTAGTAGATCTTCCTATAGATCTTCCGCTTGATTGTAAAATGTTTTTGATTGTAAAGCAACTGAAAGTATTGTTCCTATATATAGCACATATCTAGGTACGATACTTTCAGTAGAAAACTTTAAATACGATTAGTCAAAACTAGAATTTTCTTTGCACACCGTGTCATTTCTCAGCCGATCGTAGAATTTCCAAAGAAACGAATATACAAAATTCAATAAGTTTTGTTTGTATTTCGCTTTTATAAAGAGTCGTTGAAACCAAAAATAAATACAAAGGACTGTTATTTCAATCGTCCCACTAGGAGATATTTTCGTTATATGGTTCATTTTGATATTTAGCGAATCAACTTTAAAGCCTACCCAAGTCACGGGAATCTCATTATCTCAAACATATTACTTTTGATTAGTTTTGTATTGTAACAAACAAAAAACATATAAATATTATTGATTTGGTGAGATCTTACAAATTATTGAATTTCCTAAATAAAACTAAATTATAAAAACTCTTATTCTTTCTTAGCACACACATTTAAGTACACAATTTTCTTGAAAATTGAATTAACAAAATGAATAAATTGAATTCAATTACCTTCATTATTATTCCTTAATTTGGTGTTAAAATTTTGAAATTTCTAAACTCTCCATGAATATTGGATTTTGTAAACGTTTGTATTATGTCGGTCTATCAAAATGAACAAAATGTGTATGAAATATGCTTAACTGTGAAATTGTACACATCTTTTGTACATATATTGCTATTCTATAAACAAAATAAACTTCAATGAAGTTGACTGTATTTTGAAAAACATTGAAAACTTCAAACTGTTACTGTCTATGCTCATGAATAAAAATGAGAGAAAAATAAATTAGGTTTTATGCCACACAATACAATTTATATTTGATACTGTCAACTTAAGGGTGTTAGTATAATAAAATTCTCTTCAAAATTTAGAATTAAAAAAATATCATTAAAGAATCGAAAGTTGTATTTTTTACAAAATTTTTAGAAATCCGAAACTATAAATATTTCTGCTGATGTCAATGGCTGAATTTCGGAAAAACAGCCACGATTTTATAAACATTATACTATTATTAAATTTTCATATGCACGAATAATTAAATCCAAAGTCTTTTAAAAATTAAAACATTGCAAATTATTCAGTTAAACGCATCCACTTCCTATTTAAATTTTTAATTTCCCAAAGGAACAAAATATTTCTGTGACAATTCGGCAATATATTGTAAAATTTGCATTAAGCTGCATTATAAATTTATTGCATTATAAGCAGCATAATGCAGTTACTCTTATTCATTATAAATATTTTTAGTATGCCTTCCAAATAAGTGTTATAAGTGTTCTATAATATGAAAATATGCAAAGTAGGTATCTAAAAGGAGGTATGTATAGCATAAGAGCATAATATTTTAAAGAATTTGTGGTAATTTTTTTTCTACTTTTACTCGGTTTGCATTATATAATACGTATCAATGGTAACTATACAAACTTACACTGAGGCTTTTGGAAGCACCACGAATGAAAATGAAAAATGTTACTTGCTTTTATTCTGTTTCTTTCTGCAAAGAAAAATGAACAAAAACACCTGAAATTAAAACGGAAGAACGAAAAGAAAAATCAGTTTATGGTTATCCAATCATTTCATCACAATATATAGGTAATGTTCTTTTCATTTTTCCTCTCATTTAAATGACGTCAGAAAGAGACAAGGATAATAATGTTCGTAGCTTCGAAAAATCATTAACATGAATTAATCATTCACATAGCATCTACACTTTTTCACGTACGTATAGAAAGTTGCGGTTGTTCGAATACCTATCGATTTAAATATTAAAATGTTATTTAAATGAAAAATTGAAATTTTAATGGATTCACTCTTGAAACTTAATAAGTTTTTGAGACCTTTGAAATTGTGGAGAACTACCATTATAAGAGAATTAAATTGGAATCAAGATTATTTTCTTTTTTCTTTTTCTGTTTTTGATTAAATTTTAATTCTTAAATAAATGGATGAATGAAACTTTATGAAAAAGAAAGTTAAAAAATGAAAAAAAATTAAAATTTTAAATATATATGGGTGTCTTGTATGTTATGCAATTGTAGAATCAATTACATATACAGTCTTCCTTTCATATGTTATGAGCATTAATTTATGTTTATTGAAATGTTGCGTAGGTCTACCAAGAAATTTGTAAAATGCTATAACATACTACGGTTTTGTGCATTTGAACGCCACACAAATGAAAATAATTGATAAAACTTTGATATCTTTTGACGAGCATGGAGAATGAGAGAAGTATGAGAGATAACTGTTTCTAACATATCTACATAGAAATTCTACTATATTTTTTAAATATCTGTATTAATTGAAATCTGTTGCTCGAACTCATCTGGAAGAAATATGTACGTTTACAAGTTTGGTAGCCCTGTTACAATATTCACATTAGAAGGACTGCTTCGATTTAAAAATCTTGTTGAGATTCGCTCTCGTCACCTTCATTGGGAGAATCCCATAATTCTTTCCCCTTATGAAAATAAACTCAAATTAATTGATTTATCTGCTATAAGTAAAAGGCATTATGGGCTGGGAGTGATATTCATATTTAAAATCAAGAAATCAGTCGTGATTTCCCTCGACATGTTGAATAAGGTCGTCGTTAATTTCATAAAACCATCAAAAAGGAATCATTCTCCGACTTTTTTGTAGAGCTCGTTTGTAGAATATTGAGTTTTTATAACAAATTGAAGAATACACTTCAGTTCACTAATGAAGGACACCATGAAATGACCATTATTTGGTTAAAATTTCTAATAAACTCTTTTCTAATTGACGTCTATTTAGTTATTAATACATGAACTGTAATTTTTAAATATCTTATTACTTTATTTGATTTAAAATAGTTTTAATTCTAAAATAATGTCTAATTTAGTTAATCTAAGTATATTTTTATAAACCTTTAGGACCGAATGACAAAATAGAAAATACAGGATAAAATAATTTTTCGTATTTTAAATTTTTCTTTATTTTTCTTAAATTTTTTTTTAAATCTTGATGTTTTTTTCTGTCTTATTTTCAGATGCTTCTACAAGTATCATGGGTTAGACATCGTGATATACATTTACTAACTGTTGGACGGTATACATATACATCGGATCAACGATTTCGAGCCATCCATCAGCCGCAAACTGAAGACTGGATTTTACAAATAAAATATCCTCAACATAGGGATTCTGGAATTTATGAATGTCAGGTTTCAACGACACCACATATGAGCCACTACATACATTTAAATGTTGTTGGTAAGTATATGAGTTTATTATTATAGTAACTGTTATTTATGTGCTTTGGTATCGAGTGTTCTTGTATTCTTCCATTAATATTTACTGTATATAGGTAATAATATTACGAATGTAATAACTGAAAACAATCTAGCTTCCTACAATATTTCAGAAACTATAAGTAAAAACCTATCTAATGAACTTTAAGGTATATAAGGAACGCTGAAAATTCCGTTTGTTATTTTACATAAACAAATATTACTATTTATAATATACATTATGTGTATAAAAATGTTATGTTATTTCTCTTTAAAATTGATATCCACTGAAATAATAACCTTTGACATATTGTATAAATAAAAAGGAATAACGCAATCAAGGGTATGCAGGAATAATGAAAGAAAAATAAACTTAATATTTTCGTTTATAAGTATATTATGTAAATGAAAAATGAAAAATTCATACATATGTGGGTTTATGTAATATCTTAGGAAAGAAAATAAGTCCACGCATATTCTTCCTCCAAGTGTACACAATATGAATGAATTTATTTTTAATGTAAAAATAATAAAATATGAATTTATTCAAATACGAGGTGGAAAATCTTAAGGAATCATATAGAGTATCTTGTATAGGTTACACAAATAATCTTAAAATTATTTCAGTTTTCTACGTTCTGTATGAAAATGAAAAATCGTTATTAGAATTACGAAATCTTTTGTATATGTATTTGTATGTGTACATTATTTCGTAACTTATGGAAATTTTTTTATTTAAGTTTGGTAACTAAACAGGCATGATATTTTTGTCTACATGAGAAATAACAGTTCCCATAATAGATATTTTATAAAAGAACGCCTATTCAGTTATTTGATTTAGTAAACTTTGTAAATACATTTTGAAAATATTTGAATACTTGTTTAATGATTTATGTTAAACTGCTACAGGAGATTAACGACTTATACGAGTATACTTATTGAAATCTTTATATATAAATAGACAAATAACTAGAATTAAAAATTTGGAATTTCAAAACCATAAAAAAATTTTTGTTATTAAGGAAGAGTTCATTATTTTCATAAATTAATTTATAAATTTACAGAACCTTTTACTTTTACAAAATTACAAATTTTACTTTTACAAAGTTTTTATTTTACATAATTCGTACTTTGAGCTGAATTATATTTGAAATAGCGTAAAGGATTTTCATTTTTCTCTAAAGGATTATGTGTAGCAGTGTAGGTGACATAACATGAAAAGTTACCACTTAACCAAGAACACCCGTGGGAAGAAATTGCGACTAAGATTCAAGAGACTGCCGAAGAAACACTAGGTAGAAAACAAATGCAACGCAAAACATGGATCTCTGACGTGACTTGGGACCTCATCAATAAAAGGAGAAATGCTAAGCAACTAGCGACCAATGAAAACAACAACAAGTCTCCACAGTACCAGAACTTAGCAAAACAAGTAAAGAAGGCTGCTAGAAGAGACAAACGGAGATATCTCGAAAGGATGGCGTTCCAAGCGGAGCAACACGCCAACCAGAACAACATGCGTGGCATGCACCGAATAATTAATAATCTCACCGGGCAAAAAGAAAACACAACCCGCCCTGACAGAGACCATAGCGGTAACCTAGTGACAAATGAAGAGGCCCAGATAGAAATATGGAAACAGCACTTTGAAACAATTAGCAACGTAACACATACGACCAGCGAATAAGTGCATAATAGTAACCCAGTCAGAAGACAAACAAACTTAAGAATTTCTGAAGATCCCCCAAATATTAGCGAAATAAAAACAGTCATACAAAAACTCAAAGATATAGACCAAGAAGATATAGACAACAGACTGAAGAAAGCAAGAGCGGCTTTCGGTAGACCAATATGGTAAAGTAGCCAGATATCCAGAACGACTAAGGTCAGAATATTCCGGTCTTGTGTGAAATCGGTTCTGACATATGGCAGCGAAACTTGGCTAACATCAAAATCTACCAATCAAAAGTTGCAAGTATTCATCAATAGATGCCTCAGAATAATATGCCGCATATTCTGGCCAAGAAAGATAAGCAACAAAGACCTGTGGATAATAACAGGCGAAAAACCTATCGGAAGGCAAATAAGAAGAAGAAAGTGAAAATGGATTGGATACACTCTAAAAAAATAACCCGCCAATAATATCGCTAAAATGAGCTTAGAGTGGAACCTGCAGGGTTCAAGAAGACCTGGACGCCCCAGAAACACCTGGCGTAGATCTGCAAAATCAGAAGTAGAAAACGCAGGTCTAACATGGAGTTAAGTCAAGCAAATAGCCCAAAATAGAACAAGATGGAGATTTCAAGTGGAAGCCCTATGCTCCCAAAAGAAGTAAATAGAAAAAAAAAAAAAAAAAATGTGTTGTTATAAATAGGCACACTCTCTTAGTAAAAAAAATTTAATCTTATATTATGTATCTTTGATTTTTGAATGTATTTGTCCAACGGTTTTGTCCCGTTTTATAAAATTTGATTTTACTTACATTAATTGGATTTTCCTTATTTATTAAGGAGTACAAAATTAAATTATAAGTTATTTACGGTTTCACATTAAAATTATACAATTTCCCCGTTATATCTACATTTTACAGTAAATAAAATTTCTTAACATTGATTTTTCATTAGTTTTAATTCAAGGATATTTTCATAGGACATTTTAATTTGTTTCCCACAGAATTTATTTCTTTTTGAATATTAGCTTTTATAAGCTTGAATTAAAATTGAATAATGACACTTTAATAATTTATAAGACCTTAAATACTCAAGAACTAGATATACCATAAATTTATTAGTATAAGAAATTTATTAGTAGCTATTTTTTTATTGAAAAACAATTTATTATTTTGCAAAATACTAAACCAATAATATTAAAAAAGGGTTTTAAAATAAAAATCCTTTGCTATGATATTTTAAGACAAATTTTCTACTCAAGAAAGAGTATTCATATATTCTGATATACAAAATAAGAAAGTCAAAGTGAAATTATACAATTAATAAAAATAATAAATTTGTTTGATGTCTATATGCCATTAAGTCTATGGGCATGGGTATTGTTGAATATATCTTTCAAAATAATTCATGGACGCTGATATTGTTGACACTGTTGATATTGTCTTTACATTTCATGTTGCAGTTAGGAGTTGTAATAAGTGCCATTCCAATTCATTGTAGCTATTATTTCGGCCATTCTTTTAAAAAATGTAATTGTTTTTTTTATGCCGATTTCATCTTTATGTTTACAACTACGCATATAATAACAAAAAAAAGATTTTTTTTTAAACAAAATATCAAAACCTGTAAACTAAGGTTTAGAATAACTTAATTGGCTATCAGATCTTCGTTTATTTTATTAGGTTTAATGATTTTGTTGATGTTGAAAGGCAGGCTTCCAAATGCGGTTATATTGGCAGATTCATATTCTTATAGGGTAATTGAATCCCAAATTGATCAAATATTTTCTTTGAAATGGACGACAAAAGCTCAAAGAATGGTAGTATTCCGTATTACGTAAAAAACTAATGCAGACTTGGACAATTTATCACTTTCCGTATTGTATCTTACAATGTTATGTATTCCAAATTACAATGTTATGTATTCCAAATAGTACTTACGATAAATAGTAATTATAACTACGTTTTCCAAACACAAAGGAAACCATTGTCGTCCATTGCAAAAAAAATATGGATGTTTTTGTAAACTTTTGATGATGAGTATTACCAAGTTTAAAAATAAATACAGTTTAAAAGTGGTTTGGTTTTATTTTCGGCAGTATACGGAATACTACAATCAACTAGCTCTTGAACGAAAAATTAAATTAACTATGTTTAAGTTCTCCACTGACTTTAAACAGCAAACCGATGTTTTGAAAACTTTTATGAAGCAACCGAGTGAGCCTTGTATATTTACATATAATTCCTGGGTATTTTTATGCATTCGTTGTGAAAATTGCATTAAAAGGGCAAGTAAATTATCACTAATTGTATCAAAATCTTATCACACGCATTAGAAGATTTTAAAATTATGGTAACATAAATCAAAGAATTAAAAGGTCAATTACATAATGCAGTTCTATTTTATAAAATGTATTTTGAAATCTGTCTCTTGGGTGCTTAATAACAATAAATCGAACTTTTTCATTTTTCTGTACTTTAATTATAGTGTAATGTATATTGAGTGTGGCGTATATATTTCAATATTACCATTCGAATTTTTTTTAATTGATGGTAATTAAATTTATCAAATAATTTTTCTAAAAATTTTTCACTTGTTTATTAATGCAAATAGCTCAAAAATGGGGTTACAAAAATTTACAGTATATGAAATGCAAATTATAATGCGAACATTGCTTTTATATTATTATTGCGTCCCATGAATTTTATTAGACTATATCATATATTTTATCGTTAATTAAAGAGTTTAAAATGTCCTTTGAGAGTAACTCTAACAATAAGAAATTTTAATAATTTATTACAAAATCATATATTATACACAAACATATTAAAATATACTGGAGAAAATAAAATATATTATTATTATTATTATTGTAAATTAAAGGGATCAAAGATATGAAAAAATAATTCTAGGTTTTACTTCTTTTTTCCTCAAATCGTTCTCAAATCTCCATAAAAAAAAATAAATATACTCTTATGTTAATAATATCTAGCTAATAATAAAGTAAATTATAACTATTATTTTATGCAGTCGCATACGTGTACATAAATTATCATTTTATTACCTTGTGTGTATGCATATATACGAGTACAATATTTGTACGTAATATTAATGTTCAGATGTTTATGTTGTGCAATAATAGTCCTTATGTTATTATAAATTTTAATAATATAAACTCTTTTTTTTTTCACTTACCCTCATCCATCCTTCGATCTCCACTTATTTTCACTCATTTCTATGCGGTCCTGTTTTTTTTTTTTGTATTTGTTACCACATTTACAATAAGGATTATAATTTGTATTGTATATGTGCT